CCACGCAAACCCTAGGGGGCAGCAAAGGCTCGCAGATTTCTCCTTACTGTATTTTTTTTTTAATGAATTGCTCTATCACTCTTAGAAATTTAATGTTGAGTGATTTTATAATCCGAACTAGACTGTACGACCAGAGACCCTGTTTGTCATTTCCTTCCAGAAATAGGTTTACCACCCTCTCCGCTCTCCCAAGGTCATTTCCAGAAAGGCCAGAGATTTCCCTCGTGCTGGGAAGGCTGTGCCCAGGCCGAGTTGAATGAGGAGCTGGCGGGGCGGGATGGACAATGGCAGAGCCGGACACCCGGTGCGGGGGGCGGGGAGCGGAGGCTTAGGTGGGCCACGCGGATTCCTCAGACCCCTGCCCCCTGACTCTCTCCAGCTCGCTTTCACTTAAATGGCTGTTGAATTAAAAAGAACGCCCTAGGCGATTGGCAACCTTCTGCAGCCTTGCGCAGCGCGCCGCGAAGGAAAACGGTCCGGCCGGGGGTGCTGCCTGCATGGGGGGTAAGGGTCGGGTTTCCACCCACCCACTATCCACCCGGGACCCCGGACCCTGCAGAACTGACAAAAGACTGGCCTTCCGAAACGCACGCTCTGATCTTCCAGGGGAAGAAGCATGGAGGCTCTTTCCCTATCGATCAATCTATCATCTGTCTGTCTAATGATCAATCTATCATCCTTTGTCCCGTTTTCTAGTCTGTCTGCCTTCTTTATTTCCTCCTTTTCTGTCCACCCCCCTGTCCCTCTGTCTCACTTTCGTTCCTGCATTTTCTCGAAAGGACAGGAGGAGGTAGGCAGCCGGGCTTCATTCACCCCAGGCAGGCATTTCTGCTGGTGGCCTTGCTTCTTGTTCTGGCCTCTAAGATGCCCTTTCACGGCTGAAGTTCGCTGCTCTGCTCAACAAGTAGCAGCTTGCTGCAGATGAGAAATTCAATAAAAATGAAGGCGCGGAAAGATAGGGTAGGAATGTGGGAAAACCAGATTGTCTAATTTTATCCTGGGTTTGTTGTGAGGGAATCACCATCTGTTGCCTCAAGGAGAAGTGTTTTGATTGCCCAGGTAAGGAAAGAAAAGACCTTTATGTATGATTGCTCATGGACTCACCTTCAAAGACAGGTTATTTTCTTTATGGACAAAACGTTTTAAATAACTAAACTCCAAATCATAGCATTTGAGAAATTGTAAAGCTGTTAAAGTCAAACAGCTCAATGCCCTGTTGTGAGTTTGTCTGTGAAGGTGATATCTTTATTGTCTCCTCACTGGGAAAGATTTGCAGGAGTAGAAATGCTTATTAAAGGCTACAGAGAGTTTAGCTCACGTGTTCTTAAGAGTTTTATTTCATATTGGTGTTGCAACAGTATCAAGGATGTGTCCCAGTGTGGTGGTTAAGTAAACTCTTAAGTTAGAAAGACCTAGATTTCTGTCTGTGTTCTCTCTACCATCTAACTTGCTGTGTGCTTTCCGGCAAGTTGCCTAGCCTCTCTGATCCTGGGTTTCCTCGTTTCTAAACGGGATTGCTGACAGGGTGGAGACAACACAAGAATAGTAGTTAACACAGAATACACCACCCAGTAAGTACATAATAAACAATACTTGAGGCTGATGAGGAGGAAGGGAATAGTTAGGCCTGATATACCCATGACATGGCACTGCCCCAGCAAGGGGTCTGCAAATGCTCGGATGTGCACGGGAAGGGACAAGCATTATTACATCACTGGCGTCCTTCTGGTCATAAAAAATCAGGAGCTACTTCTGAACTTTTGAATTGATTCAAACAAATAAAATCTGTCCTATGCCTATTCAGAATTGCATGTTTAGCTATTTTGTGCATTTTGAGATACTCTGAGGCTTACAATTACGAACAGTTTCAAATAAACACCAAACTGGTATGACCCTGGTGGATTAATGATTGCTTATTATTAAAAATAGTGTTCCTCAGAAGTCACTATAGTCCCTGGCTTGATCTGGATGTGGGTGGGTGGAGGGAGGAACTGAACCCTGGAGCCAATGTTTCACTGGGCTGTTTCAACTCAAAAGTGTGAGCCACAGGCTGGTATCACATGGAGTTCGTTACGCATGCAGGGTCCACCGAGACCTGCTGAATAGAACCTGCGTGTTAATGAGATCTGGAGGGGAATTCATGGGCACTTTCGGTTTGACCAGCCCTTTCTTAGGAATTTGAGTGCACCAATGTGTTTGTTTGTTTTTTTAATAGGTCTTGTGAAAACATGGATTTCTCATAAGCTGTCTTTACCTAGCCAAGTGAAAAAGATGTGTTATCACTTACATGACTGATTTTGATTCAAAATCTTTAGATAGCCAGAAGACATATTATCATTTGCTTTCTGTTTACAAGTAACAGAGAGCCCAGCCAGTGTGGCTCAGTGGTTGAGCCAGTCAACCCATGAACCAAGAGGTGATAGGTTTGATTCCCGGTCAGAGCACATGCCTGGGTTGCTGGCTCTATCCCCAGTAAGGGATGTGCAGGAGGCAGCTAATCGATGTTTCTCTCTCATCGTTGATGTTTCTTTCCCTCTCCCTCTCCCTCCTTCTCTCCTAAAATCAATAAAAACATACCTAAAACTAACAGAGAGCTAATATTTTAAGTTCTGCCAAGTCTGGATTCCAGTGTTCCTATTACCCCCTTGAGACGTTTCTGTTTTGATACTGCTTAGCTGAAATAGACACTATTTTGCTATATTTTTAGTTTTTGAATTTTCATACTGGAAGATGTCATTAATATTTATATGAGGAACATAATAATACATATGTATTATATTACAGATAGAGAAAGATTTTAATGACGTTCTTTTAAAATCAGCTTTATTAAGGCATAATTTGCCTACAACAGAATGTATTCAATGGTACATTTAAAATCTGTGTGTTTTATGCAATGACACTCCCCCCTTGGTCTATTAAAATCTGTGTGTTTTATTGTATGCGAATTATACAGTGGGGCCTTGACTTACGAGTTTAATTCGTTCCGAGACTGAGCTCGTTAAGGAGCTCGTTAACTCAAATTACTCTATCAACTCAATGCAAAAAATCAGCCGAGAGACAGCTGGTATCTCAAAAAACTCGTTAGTCGGGACACTCCTAAGTCAAGGCCCCACTGTACTTAATAAAGTGGATTCTTTTTAAAGGTATCATCAAGGATTGCCATGATTTGTTGCCTGCTGCTAGAATAGTTCAGAGAAGATCAAGAAAAGTCAGTAGAGAGGGAAAATGAAGGTTGACACATTGGGCAGGCACAGAAAATGAAAAGCCCAGTGGTCTTGGGAGAAATGAAAGACAAATTTAGAAGGCTTGAGACCCTTTGTATAATACTTTCTTGTCTTTAAAATTAAGATGCTGATTTAATATCTGGGGCACTGAGAATGCCGCGGATTTTTTTCAAGATGAGGCCAAAATAAAAAAAAAAAATAAACGTAAAAACGTTTTGCTCTGCAGGGTCTCCTCCTCGTGTTCTGATCTCTGTCCGCCCTTCGGTGCAGCAGACACCCGCATTTGCCACGATGCTCTCAGCCAGTGACTTTGCATCTGCTTCTTGGGATCTCGTGGTCCGAGTGGACCATCCAGATGAAGAGGAGCAGAAAGACGTCACCCTGCGAGTGTCCGGGGACCTGCACGTTGGCGGGGTGATGCTCAAGTTAGTAGAGCAGATCAGTAAGTTTCTGTTTTGTTCTGGTGTCTCTATATCTGAAACCCTCTCTGTTGCATCGCCGCTGATCTAAGTTGTCTGATCACCTATGTTTTTCTGATCCTTTATCTGGTAATGGCCCAGAGAGCCATCACCCTTCCCCCAAGAAGAAGAGAACTAAGGGGCCCCTAACAACCCTTGTAAAAACTTGAGTCCCTGGTGACAAACCAAAGCTTCCCGGTAGGTAAAATGCCCTGTTTCCACAAGAATGGGCCCATTCTACGGGTGACATCTAGGGTGACCGCAGGCTTTTTCGAAGGTGTTGGACTCCTGTTAGTGCTTGATTGCTCAGTGATAAAGTCATCTTGGTGCTAATTTGTCTTTTAACACATACCCACCCTTTGCTACTCTCTCTTCTTAAACAGAGAAAGAGAAATCTTCAGGGTCAGAGTTTCACATCAGGAGTCAACACAATCAACCTAGAATTTAATAATGTTCTGTATGCCTTGTATTTATTTCTATCTTCTAAGGCCATGGTTGTGGGCTCTTCGTTGACACTAGTGAAAGAAAGCCCAGTGAATTTTCCAAGTCATGTAACACCATCCAGGTCAAGAAATAGAACATTACTTGTTCCCCCACCCCCGTCCCATACCTGACCCCTCCTTGTCACTGCCCCACCAAAGGTAGCCACTAGGTTAAAAAGAGAGAGGGAAAGAGAGAGAAATCACTTTTTTCAAAGTAAATAACAACACTGGTGGCTCTTCATTTAGCAAAATAAAAGATTGACTATTGCCTCCAGCATCGATGAAGGGAAACGATTCAACGTTGTTGCCAACATTGAAGAAGGGGGCAGTTTCCGTGTTGATGCTCACTCTCAGAAAATACTCGGCTCTGATTTCAGCGTAGACACTTTGGATCCTGGGGATATGATGGTTCTGCTAAAAGAGCTGGGCATTACCGAGAAGGGTGACGAGTCGGCTTTATAGAACTTCCGTGCGGGTTCTGATTGGGCGCTGTGGATGTCCCCTTGTGATCCAGGGGGCAAGGATACATTTCTAGTGGAGAAATTATCTTGATTAAACAAAGCAGAGTGCTCCTGGTCTTCCCAGGAAGGACCATGGCGCTGGGAGATTGAAGGAAGAGAACTTCAGCATTTCAAGATGAACAGAATTTATGTATGTCTGTTCCTTCCGCAGTATAGAAGTATCAGTGATGGTAAGATTCAGTCTGTTTTCTACCTGTCCCGCCTTAGACTCTTTGAAGAGAAGCCAAAAATCATTGAGCCTTGGCTTGTACCAGGAGATGGGGCGCTGAAGAGCGGCCCTTTGTTTGCATTTTTGTGCACGATGGGATGACTGGCGTGCCCTCCCTCTCGCTGTACTTCACTGTGTTCTCTGTTTTTGCAGACATAGCCCAAGACTGGTCAGACTTTGCCCTTTGGGGGGAACAGAAGCGTTGCTGGCTCCTGAAAACACACTGGACCCTGGACAAATGTGGAGTCCAGGCAGATGCAAAGCTTGTCTTCACCCCTCAGCATAAAATGCTTCGCCTCCGCCTGCCGAACGTGAAGACGGTGCGATTGCGAGTCAGCTTCTCTGCTGTGGTGTTCAAAGCTGTCAGTGATATCTGCAAAGCCCTGAGTGAGTACCCCGGAGGGGCCCCTGTGCCCTTTGGACCTTTGGCAAAGGAGGGCAGGAAAATGCTGTGGGCTCCCAGAGTACGCCCTCCTTAGGAAGCACACTTTTCAAACCCAATTTTGCGGACTGGAGCCATTGAAGTGGCGTTAATCCAAATGGGACATTACTGAGATACTTCAGATTCATTTCCACAAAGCTTAAAACTGCTTCAAAAGAGATGTATACTCAGAAGAAACAAGCCCATTGCAATCCCTCAAATTCATTTCTCTTAGCCATAGTAAATCATCATTATATTTAAGACAAACAAAAAAAGAGTTCCATTAAGTCATTATCACCTTGGAGCCAATGCATCTTTATTAGTTTTGAGAGAATGGTGGAGTAATGTCTTCATTGCTTCTCTTACACTTGGCTCCAATAGCCCTATCCACAAAAATCCTATGCAGAAAAGTACACTTAATTATGGAATGGAACGAATTGATACCATCCCATAAGTTTAACAGACATTAAGGACAGTATCACCCAAACCCTTTCTCTTTTTTTGTGGGACTTCCTTAGTGGGAGCAAACCCTGCCTTGTGAGGGTGTTCTTATTTTATACTAGAGACCCTCAGCCTGGTGTCCCTCAGCCTGGCCTGTGCCATCTCGCAATCTGGGACCCTTTCGGTTTCGGCCTGTTCTGGCGGTCCGACATCCCCCAGGGATGTAATAGTGAACGAAGTGGCAAGTGGCCAGGGAGGAGCCCGAGCCCGGCCCGGCACCACACCACTCCCACTCATCCCGGCCCCGCTGCGCCTGCTGCCACTGCCGCAGAGGCAGGAGAGGCTTGCACCACCGCAGCTGTGCTCACCAGCTATGAGCCCGGCATCTGGCACCCGTCAGCTGAGTGGCACACCCACTGTGGGAACACACTGACAACCAGGGGGCAGCTCCTTCATTGAGTGTCTGCCCCCTGGTGGTGGTCAGTGCACATCATAGCAACTGGTCAAACGGTCAAGCGGTCGACCGGTCACTTAGGGTTTTATATAGAGAGATTATTTTGAAAGTGTGTAGGAAAATTCTTTGGTCCCAAGGCTAAGATCTATCTTCCCCATGAAGCTATAAACTGCTCACTCATTCCTTCAACAAACATGTATTAACTAGAGGCCCGATGCATGAAGATTCGTGCAAGAGTAGGCCTTCCCTTCCCCCAGCTGCTGGGCACTGGCTTCCCTCTGGCACCCGGGACCTGGGCTGCTTGCTCTGGCCGCTGCCACCAGGCACCCGGAACTAGGGCTGCTTTGCTCTGGCCGCTGCTGCCAGGCACCCGGAACTAGGGCTGCTTTGCTCCGGCAGCCACCAGGCACCCACCCAGGACCAGGCTGCTTCGCTCTGGCTGTCACCACCAGGCACCCGGGACCCAGGCTGCTTTGCTCCGGCAGCCACCAGGCACCCACCCGGGACCTGGGCTGCTTCGCTCCGGCCACCACCACTACCCACCCAGTTCCCTGTGGTTCCCCATTTGGTCCAGCAGTCATTCCGGTTGTGACGCTTATGGCCTCTGGCCTTTTGTAATATAGGATTAGGCAAGCATTGTGGTGAATACTAAGGGTATGTTAGTCATAAAAAGTAGCCCAAATCTCTTCCCTCCTGAAACTTACATTCCAGTGTACAGAGACAGAAAATAAATAATAAATGGAAAAACTAAGATGTTAAAAGGAGATAGTAGGGCAAAAGGAAAAAGTGTAATAGTATACATATGCTTGGGAATGCCAGTATTGGGCATTGGAGGCTGGTATGTATTTAACAGGGTGAAGAGAGAAACCTTTTATTTTTTAGCATGCCCAGCACAATGCCTGCACACATTAGCTGTTAATAACATGAGTGACAGCTCTAACCGGTTTGGCTCAGTGGATAGAGCGTCGACCTGCGGACTCAAGGGTCCCGGGTTTGATTCTGGCCAAGGGCATGTACCTGGGTTGCGGGCACATACCCAGTAGGGAGTGTGCAGGAGGCAGCTGATCGATGTTCCTCTCTCATTGATGTTTCTAACTCTCTATCCCACTCCCTTCCTCTCTGTAAAAAATCAATAAAATATATTTTTTTAAAAAATATAAATAAATAAATAACATGAGTGACAAGTGAACGGAACCTCCCATTATGGAATGTAAGTTCCAAAGTGTCCCTGCTGCTCGGTGAGCAAGTGGCAAACACCAGGCACCCTGATTTCAGTAACGTTCTCATGAGGATTGGAAAACCATTTCTTTTTTGTGGGACTTAATAAATGATTGAATTACACCAAATGTCGCAGTAGTCTGGAAGCACACATCATACCTGGAACCAAACCCTTGAGGTTTTGAAGTAAATAGAAGCAGTCAGATGTTCTTCTCTTTTCCAGATTATCTATCTTCATGGCAGTTCTAAAAGGCCCAACTGGCATTTCTACTAATCTCTTTCTATCTGATGAATAGAAGGTAGATCAAATTCACCAACATGATGGGTTTTCCCTCAAGGAAAAGGAAAGGCAAATGTTAGGCTCGGAGATAGGGTTTTGTTTGTTTTGTTTTGTTTCTGATGTTTACCACTGTACATCTTGATTCATCTCTAGGTTTTGTGTATAAATTATGCATTTGAAGTGGTCACAGGTGCCTGCTGCAACCTGATGATCGGCCATCCTTAGCTACTGGGGAGAGAATCGAGCTGAACTACCAGCCTCAGACTCAGCATGAAGCAGTGTTTGAGCTGAGAAGTAGGAGGAATCAGTTCATTTACCTCCAGGAGAGCTGCCCAGAGACGAACATCCACATTCCCTGGCTTTTCCCTGGGATCATAGCAGCTCAATGCGGTTAACGGCAATGATAAATGTATTTCATTAATGGAGGAAAATGGGGATAATCTTCATTTCTCCAGAAGCAGACCCTGAGATAAGGATTCCAGTGCAGATATTTATTTATTTGAGGGGCCGGGGGGTAGTGCCGGGGAACACTGATAACGAATGGGGACGTGAGACTGGGCAGAGAAGGCCACCAATAAGAGATTGTCCCAGCAGAGACATGCCTCAGAGCCATCCCACCCAAGGGCCGAGGGAGCTGGGTGTTAATATGCCACTCATCAGTCACCGGGGCTGCGCTTGGAGAGCATTCATTCTCTGAACTCGTGTGGCCGGTTGCGCTGTATCTGGGCAGAGTAGACTCCGGTGTTCAGAGCAAGCCCATGGGCAGACAGACACATGTCCTAGCTGCCATTGGTAGTCAAGTCAGAGTGCACTGAAAGGGTGAGGCCAAGAAGAGGCGGGCAGGCACCAACGATGTCTGCCACAGGGATGAAAGTAGCAGCTGGGCATCATGTAAGAAAAGGGCTCTCTGGATCTGTGGTCCATGAAGAAAAAGGTGGGGCCCTTGGCTGTTGATTAAAAAACTGAATAAAAAAAGATAAGGAGGGAGGGGGTGCAGAAGGGAGAAAGAAAGGGAGGAAAGAAGGAGGGGAAATTGGTAGTAAGTAGGTGGCATAAGAATAGCAAAATTCTGGTTGATTTAGATACATTTGAAATATTTTCACAATAAATCAAAAAACAAAATAGAAGTTTTACTAGACTAAATCTCCCTCCACTATTTTACCTTCCTATACCCTTATTGATGGGGGGGATAGGGGAGGTCTTATTCTCCTCTGTTTCTTTAAAAAGTAGTGCAATCTAGTTCTATTACTTCTCCGGAATTTCCTGAGAAATGGTTTCAATTGCCCAACAGGAATTTTTATTTTATTTTATTTTTTTTAACTTTTCAGTTTTTCTTTTTTGTTTTTTATACTTATTTATTAGATATTAGAAGACCAGAAGAACTTTCCTTGTTAAAGCCTTCTAGCGACTATTTTAAAAAGAAGAAGAAAAAAGACAAGAACAATAAGGAACCCTTAATTGAAGACATTTTAAACCTGGAGAGTTCTCCAACAATTTCTGGGCCACCAGGTAAGAATTGTGACAGGTGCTTTGTTGTTTTAATTCATTCTTAAAGCTGAGAGTTTCTTAAATTTTTTTTTTATTTTTTTAATCCTCACCCGAGATTATTTTTTTCATTGATTTTTAGACATAGTGGAAGGGACAGAGGAAAGAGGGAAGGAAAGAGGAAAAGAGAGAAAGAAACAGAGTGAGAGAGAAACATCAATGGGAGAGAGACACATTGATTGGTTGCCTCCCACTCATGCCCCGAGAATTGAACCTGAGACCCTTTGGTCCTCAAGCCAACTCTAACCACTGAACAACCCAGCCAGAGCAAGAGTTACCTCAATTTTTAAATCCTAGGAACTCTCCTCCCCTCTGCTCTGTCTTTCCTCTTGTCCCCCCCTTCTCCTTTCTCCCCCAAACAAAGAAGGGCTAAAATTGCAAGAGTCCTATGATGAGGAAAGGATATCCAATTAATTCTAGAACAGAATCTTTTTTGACAAGATATGCTTTATAGCTCATTATGTTAATTGCATGTATTATGTTTCTGATGAATTAGAAACCTTAATAGAACTGGCTGTGAATTTGAGGGAGGAAACAGATTATTTGGATCACTCAAATATACTCCTGTTTTCCTGGTTCAATCTTCCTGTGACTCTTGTATGAATTCCATTTAAATTTTGCACTGGACATGTAACAGGAGAATAGGTAAAAATTCTAGAAAGGCTTCATTCTTTTCTTTTTATATAAGAATATAAAAAGCTAGCTTGTTTGCAACGTTTGAGGGTTTTCTTGCATAGTATATTCCAGTGCAAAGAATGAAAGGAATTATTTGCACTTTTCTTATGCAAAGTAAAGGCAGATGATATATAAACCATTAATTAGCTGGGTTCTTAAAATTGGCAAGTACTGCTATTTCTTTAAAGAATTTGCCCAAAATATAGTCTGTACATACATTCTGTGAGATCTCTGGTTCTCTAATAGCGTGAAAACTCACAGCTATAGCAGAGGCATTTTGAATTGTTGAGAAGGACATAGTCTCCCACACTTGTATGGGTTGACTGTGGAATCTTGTATAGCCTGTCAGTTCCCAAGTTTTCAGTAGCTAAACATTCAGGCAAGAGCTTTACCCGTGTATAACTCCTCCCGCATCAGCCATGACTCCTCTGATTATTTTAAATGTTACAACTATTTAAATTCAAAATCCATTTCAGTGTCAGCAATCTGTACTTGTTTTTCCAGAGATTTCCGCTCCCTGAATCTCATATCCTAGTGTGTGTCCCCCTTTGCCTTACAGTAAGTCCTGGCTTGTACAGTAAAACCATGACTCCCACGTATGACCCCGTCAACGGAACGCCGGTGTCATCCACCATGACGTGGTTCAGTGACAGCCCTTTGACCGAACAAAACTGCAACATCCTCGCATTCAGCCAACCCCCGCAGTCACCGGAGGCGCTGGCTGATATGTACCAGTCTCGGTCTCTGGTCGATAAAACCAAGCTTAACGCAGGGTAAGGATGTGGCTCCGTGTTGCTTCTCTGTGAACTGGCACTGATGTAGCAAGAGAGATACCACAGAGATGGGGAGAGGTTGTTTATTTTTTAAATTAGGGTGCCTGGGGATGGCACACTGCTAGCAAAAGTCAGGACTGATTATAGCAACAAAAAGGAAAAAAACAGGCCTTTGGTCATTTCAATACATATAAAGTGTGACGTCCCTTATGTGTTGGGGTAACCCAATGGTTTACCATATGCGAATACGAATTCTTTCCCCCTGAGGTGTGCAAAGTGTATTTTATGGGAGGTCGAGCAGTTCATAAGTGGGTTGGAACCCATGGGTCAGGGGGAGACCCAAGGTGGCCCACCTGCCCACACTGTCTTGTAGAATGCCGCTTCTCTCTGCAGCGGTTCTAGAGCAAGTCCTTCCGCTTTGCCTCAAGCGGGCTCAGAAGACACACTCAAACTATTTCTCAGACCACTGGCTCTTTTCACTCCCCACTGTTCACCAAATAAAGTCAGCTTGTGGGCAGCATTCCACTCCCTGTGACATCTGGCCCAGCACTGTCTTCCTGTCCTACTGTGTACCCGCCCCCATGGTGCCCCCGAGGCCTCTCCTCCCCTCCTGCTCTCCCGTCAGCCCTGCTCATCCTTTACGGCCCAGTCACTCTCTCCTTCGTAGATGTCACCATTCAAGATCATCACTTCTCTGTAGTTCTGTTCTCATACTTTGCTTGCCCAGCGTCACTCTCTTCCTTTATTAGGAGGCTTGGTCTCTCCCACTGGACCAAGGCCTTGGGGATGGAGATTGCAGCTTGGGGGCTAATTTAATAGAAGTTCAAGCCATTTTCCTTCAGTGTTTCTGGCTGGCATTCATGCCCACCTGGTCTTGTGGTTACTGTTTAATCGCCATCCCTCCACCTCTCACCATTACCCAGTGTGTGTGTGTTGTCAACCTTAGGACTAAACTATCCAGTATAGGAGCCACTAGCCACATGTGGATAGTTACATCTAAATTTGAATTTAATTAAAATGGAAATGTGGCACTAGCCACATGTAAATCTTCAAAAGTCACATGTGGCTAGTGGCTACTCTATTGGACAGGGCCATACAGAATGTTGTTGTAATTATAGAAACTTCTAGACAATACGATAGAGCCAGTTTTGGGTCGGACCACCTAGTGTAGGGGAGAGGCTGTGCGGGCACTCACCCGGTGTAGGGGAGAGGCTGTGCGGGCACTCACCCGGTGTAGGGGAGAGGCTGTGCGGGCACTCACCCGGTGTAGGGGAGAGGCTGTGCGGGCACTCACCCGGTGTAGGGGAGAGGCTGTGCGGGCACTCACCCGGTGTAGGGGAGAGGCTGTGCGGGCAGCCACCCGGTGTAGGGGAGAGGCTGTGCGGGCAGCCACCCGGTGTAGGGGAGAGGCTGTGCGGGCAGTCAGCAAGTGCAGATTCTCAGTCTGGCTCTACCACGAGGTACAGGACCTTAAGCATAAACAGAGTCACTGAGACTCTGTTTTAACATCTATAAAACTGAGAAAATAAAAACTGCTCTGGCTTCTTCACTGGGTTACTTTATGTAACCCAGTGTCAATGAGAAAAATAAATAAATACATAAATTATATATAAATATCTATACACACACATACATAGCATTGGGAAAGCTGTAAGATAAAATATAGATGTAAGCTAGTTTCAATTCCTCTCCCTTACTGGTTTTTGGTCACATTACTTACTCGGATTTTGTTCAAGGAGATGTGTATATATAATGTAAATATATATAACATATATTACATGGTGCATTGATTACATAGAACATATTATATAACATAGATAACATGTAAACATATTATATAATGCTGTAACATATATGTATAAAACTGATCAACTTTTGTAACTTATCTTACTGTTTTCTAGTTGGCTGGACTCCTCGCGTTCCCTCATGGAACAGGGCATCCAGGAGGATGAGCAGCTGCTGTTACGATTTAAATACTACACCTTCTTTGACTTGAATCCCAAAGTAAGATACTCTTTCTCTATTCTCTCTCTTTTTTAAAATATGAATCCATGGAAGTGTACAACTGAGTCATTTAGTCCTCAAAGTTAGGATTAACGTGTGTAATCTTCTGCTACCTCTTCAGAGTTAGATCAGTAAATGCCTTCTGCTTCCTCGTTTGCATTTTTGGGTTCTAGCGAGCTTGGTCAGCTGCCGCGACTGTGTGGGAGTCTCTGGGGGTCTTCGTGCCCAGCAGTGCATGCTCCCTCTCCATTCACAGGAACAATAAGAGAGCGTTCAGGGAGCCAGAGTGCTTAGGGTTTGGGAAGGAGGCGTTGTCAGGACCTAGGTTAAGAGCAGGTTCTCATGAATAAACCAGGACCCCATGATGGCGCACCGCAGACTCCCCACGGTGGCGATGAGCAAGAGGGGTCATCTATGTAAATAAAGACCCGGCCAGTCGCCAGGTCCCATCTGAGGTGTGTGTCTCCCACCTGAAGTTTACTGGGCAACTGATTCCTCTCCCTGGCCCTGATTTGCCCGTTCGTGCCGTTGTGAGTCAGCAGATAAATGGCCAAAATGTAGAAAATAGAAACTGGGTCCCTGCTTCTCTGAGTGCACAGGGCGGTTCATCGTACTGTTCCTGCCCAGTTTGGTGTTTGGCGTTGCTCTGTCCTTGTACTCGCTGCCGGGCACGTGTTCCACGGGCTTGCCTCAGGCCACCTGTTGAGCGCAGACCCTTTTCTCACCCACAGCAGTGTCACTGCCTCTTGTGGCACAGCCTTCCCCTCGGTCATTTTCTCCACGAACAGCCCTTCCTCATTCAAAGATTACAAAAAGTGTTCTCTTCATGGTTCCTCCTAATAGGTTTAGTTGTTATGTTTAGATTTTTTATAAGTCCTTTGAGATATAATTCACATACCATAGATTTCACCCGTTTACTCGGTACAGATGAATGGTTTTTCGTATATTCACTGAGTTGTGCAACCATCACCACCGTCTCATTTCAGAACACCTTCACCATCCTAACAAGAAACTCATTATCCACCAGGAGCCGCTCTCCATTCCCTCCCAACCTCCCGGCCCTAGGCAAGCGTCAGTCAGTCTTCCTTCTGTCCCTATGGATTTGCCTATCCTGGACGTTTCATATAGATGGGGTTATATAATATGTGGTACTTTGGGACTAGTTTCTTTCGTTAAGCATAATATTTTCAAGGTCAATTCATATTATACCATGAACCGGTATTTCGTTTCTTTTTATTGTCAAATAATATCCCATTGAATGTATGTGCCACATTTTATTTATCTATTCATCAGTTGATGGACATTTGGAATGATTCTACTTGGGGGTTATTATGAATAATGCTGCTAAGAACATTCATGTGCAGGTTTGGGTTTTGTTTTTTGGGTTGTTTTTTTTATTTCTTTTTATTGTGGTAAAACATACATAACAATTGCCATTTTAACCATTTTTTAATTGTTTTTTAAAGATTTTCTCCCAGAAAATAGCTTATCTTTTCTTTTTTTAAATTCCTCTCTGTAAAAATCAATAAAATATATTTAAAAAAAAAAAAAAAAAAACAATGAGAGAGAATCATTGATTGGCTGCCTCATGCACACCCCCTACTGGGGATCAGCCCACAACCCAGTCATGTGCCCTTGACCAGAATCAAACTTGGGACCCTTCAGTCCGCAGGCCGATGCTCTATCCACTGAACCAAACCAGCAAGGGCCATTTTAATCATTTTTAGGTCCACAATTCAGTGGCATTAAGTACATTTATAATGTTATGAAGCTACCACCATTGTCCATTTCCAGAACATTTTTTATCATCCTATACAAAAAGTCTGTACCCATTAAACAATAACTCCCCATTTAACCCTCCCTCCAGCCCTGTAACCTCTGTTCTACTTCCTATCTTTATGAATTTGCCTATTGAAGATACTTCATAAAAATGGAATCACACAATATTTGTCCTTTTGTGTCTGGCTTATTTCACTTAGTGTAATATCTTATAGTTGTAACGTGCATGAGAATTTCATTCCTTCTGAAGGCTGAAGGATATCCCATTGTGTGTATATACTACATTGTGTTTATTTATTCATCCATTTATGGGCATTGGGGTTGTTTCTGCCTTTTGGCTATTGTGAATAATGCTATGATGAGCACTGGTGTCCAAGTATCTGTTTGAGTCCCTCTTTTCCTTTTTTTTTTTTTTTCGCTATATACTTACAAGTGGAATTGCTGGATCATACTCTATGTTTAACTTTTTGAGGAGCTACCAAACTGTTTTCCATAGAGGCTGCACCATAGTCCCACCAGCAATGAATAAGGGTTCCAATTTCTCCACATCCTCAGTAACATTTGTTATGATCTGTCTTTTTCATTAGAGCCTAGTGAGTGTGAAGTGGTATCTCGTTGTCTATCTGTAATTAATATTTTTGGGGTGATGAGAGATTGTTTTTTTTTTATTTTGGATTTTTATTTTCCAAATGTCAAGGCATTGTTAACACTATAGTCTTGAATTCTTTCTTCCCCTGCTGCTATAAAATGCCATTTTTATTTTATATTAAACTTATATACATATATAGGTCTGTTTCTAGATACTGTGTTATTGACATTTTGTCTATCACTATACGAATACCACACCATTTTAGTTGCTGCAGCTTTATAATATGTTTTAATGTCTGGGAGGACAGGTGTCTTCCCAATATTGTTCTTTTTCAAAATGTTCCTCATGATATTCAAAATTCGTGCGAGGGGCTCGGCTCTCGCAGCACTGGCTGCCTCGCCCACTGTTCGTTCCAGAAGCTCTTTCTGCCGTCCACATCTCTGTATTATAGAGGATTGTTTTTTCCAGCTTAACTTAAAAATTAGCTTGTATAAAGTTTTATTTAAAAATCCCTATCAGCCCTGGCTAATATGGCTAAGTTGGTTGGGCATCGTCCCATCCTGTGCATGGTTCAATTTCTGGTCAGGGCACACGCCCGGGTTTTGGGCTTGATTCCAGTGAGGGATATACAGGAGGCAGTAATCAATGTTATGCTCTGACACTGATATTTATCTCTCTCCCTCTTCCTTCCTCTCTCTCTAAAAATCAACAAAATGAAATAAAATAAAAATTCCTATCAGATTCTGATTAGGATTGCACTGAGTTTGCAGATCAGCAATCCCTCCTCCTTTTATTGGTTATCACATAAACCAATTTTACTGTCTGCTTTTCATACCAATAAGAATGTGATTAAAGGGAGGTGAAGTAATGGAATCTAAGATGGGTTAGTTGGGCCCCTTGAAGAAACCCTGGGAAATATTTTGAGAAAGTTCTAAATTCAGAAATAAAAAGAGCTGGGGCAGTGTGTCCCTTTTAGTAACCTGAACTAAAGTTCAGTGCATCTGTCTAACAAGGAACGGCCTGTCATTCCAGAATTTTGTATTGTGGAATATGACTGTGCCCCCTACACCACCACCACCACCCCCACCCACACACACGTAACTCTTTCTTTCTCTAGTATGATGCTGTCCGAATAAACCAGCTCTATGAACAAGCCAGGTGGGCCATTGTCTTAGAAGAAATTGACTGCACAGAGGAAGAAATGTTGATCTTTGCAGCACTGCAGGTATGGGAACTTCAGTACCTCCTCTCTGGAAGGAGACAAAGCAAGTTTGTTTTGCTTAAGTTTCATGGTATTTATACTGGCCTTTTCTTGGAAGAAAGCACTAAAAATGAGGGGAGTGAATTAGAATTTTTTTTTTTTTTTTACAGGGGGAGCGCGATGGTGCTCCCCGGCACTTTTAGGGAAAGAGAGGCCCCCCCCCCCCCCGGCACTTTTGGGGGGGGCCGGCGAGAAGAGAGCGGTCGCGCTCCCCCGGCACTTTTGGGGGGAAGATAGGAGGCACTCAAAGGGTTAAAAGCAATTTAGCCCAGGATGCGCCCGTTAATGGAACGGGTCATTAATTATGGAAAGTTACCTCCGCAGTCAGCAGGAGCAAATGCCCCACAGAAATGCCGTTTGAACAGCCCGGTTCGACCAAGTGTGGTCGCAATGTCACAGCAAAAGGGCTGCCGGAATCACACCCGCCCTCCCCTCCCCTCCCCATCCATCCCGACCAGAACCCATCCCGCTCGCACCCCACCTCCCCGAAATCCTGCTGTTTAAACTTTGGCAAGCGACTAACTCCCTAACTTGTGGCAACTTTTTACCTTCCTGTCTGGAGAGTTGGTGGGGGAGGGGGGACGCACTAGGAT